CAGCAGCAGCAGCAGCAGCAGCAACAGCAGCAGCAGCAGCAGCAGCAGCAGCAGCAGCAAGAGGAGCCTATTGAGGGGTGTTTGCTTCGCTCTATAAGATATGTGGGGCTAGAGAACCTGGGCGCTACCTGCTATATGAATGTCTTCATACAAACTTTGTTTATGAATATACACTTCAGGCGCGCGCTGCTGCTGCTGCCCACGCTGCAGCAGCTGCAGCACGCAGAGCTGCTGCTGCAGCAGCAGCAGCAGCAGCAGCAAAATACACACAGCTACCCGCATGTCATCTGCATCGATGATAACGATAGCCAACAGCAGCAGGAGCAGCAGCAGCAGGAGCAGCAGCAGCAGCAGCAGCAGCAGCAGCAGGAAACTGCTGCTGCAGAGCCGCAGTCGTCGACCTCTGAGATCATCAAAGCTGCACCAGAAGCGGGAGAAGCAGCAGCAGCAGCAACAGCAGCAACAGCAGCAGCAGCAGCAGCAGCAGCAGCAGATGAAGCAAAACGCATAAGCGGAGAACCCCATGAGGCTGCTTCGGGTGTATGGCCACCTGCTGGAGCGACAGCAGCAGGCGAGGCTCAGAGCAGCAGCAGCAGCAACAGCAGCAGCAGCAGCAGCAGCAACAGCAGCAGCAACAGCAGCAGCAACAGCAGCAACAGCAACGGCAGCAGCAAAACAGATCTCACGAAGGGCGCTTCCAGTACAGCAGCAGCACCAGCAGCAGCACCAACAGCAGCAGCAACAGCAGCAGCAGCACCAACAGCAGCAGCAGCAGCAGCAGCAGGAGATAGCCACCCCCCATGGGCATTGGACGAAGCAACAGCAGCAGCAGCATGCAAGTGGCTGTGCAGCAGAAGATATTCTCTCGTTGCTGAGCTGCAGCGTATATTTTCTCTGCTGCAGTGCGGTGTACAGGCAGCTCTGAGGCCCCAGTCTTTAGCTGATCTTCTTGCTGATGATCTATCCTGTCAGGTACCTGCTGCTGCTGCTGCTGCTCCTGCTGCTCCTGCTGCTGCTGTTGATGATGCTGTTGATGATGCTGTTGATGATGCTGCTGCTGCTGCTGCTGTTAATGATGCTGCTGCTGCTGTTAATGCTGCTGTTGTTAATGCTGCTGCTATTGCTGCTGGTGGTTCTATTGCTGCTGATGATGCTATTGCTGTTGCTGCTGCTGCTGCTGCTGCTGCTGTTATTGCTGCTGCTGCTGCTGCTGCTGCTGCTGGGGTGTCATCCTGAGGGCTTCAATTTGCTACTAATTCTATCTTACCTGCCCTTTCTTTTTTTCTCTTTCACTTGTTTTTTTTTTATTTTTTGTTCTTTTTTCTGCTGCTTCCCCCCCACATCCTGCTGCTGCTGCTGCTGCTGCTGCTGCTGCTGCTGCTGCTGCTGTGTATACACTAGGAGGACGCGAACGAGCTGCAGCACCGGCTGCTGGAGATGCTCGAAGCAGAGCTTGGGGGCTGCTGCAGCCCGTGGAATTTTTTGCCTTCTCTTTTTCGTGGGGCTCACATGCAGGCTGTTTGCTGCCGCTGCTGCAGCTACACGGGGAGGAGAGAAGAGAACTTCTATCAGCTCAGCTGCAGCTATAAACTAGATAAAAAACATAAAGAGGATAAGGAGAAAGTACTGCTGCTGCAGCAGCAGCAACAGCAGCAGCAACAGCAGCAGTTGATGCAGTTGCAGATGCAGCAGCAGCAGCAGCAACAGCAGCAGCAACTGCAGCAGTTTGGAAACGCTACTGCACCTGCTGCTGCTGCTGCTGCTGCTGCGGGTGCTGCTGCTGCTGCGGCGGCAGGGGGAGGGGGCGATGCACTCGATCCGTTGCAGCAGCAACAAATTTATCTGCAGCAACTGCAGCAGCAGCAGCAACAGCAACAACAACAACTGCAGCAACAGCAACAGCAGCAGCAGCAGCAGCAGCAGGCAGCAGGGGAGAGACGTACAGGGACTAAGAGGGAAAGAGGAGGAGCAGCAAAGAACAGCAATACCCATATGCAGCAGCAGCAACAGCAGCTACAGCAGCAACTGCAGCAGCAGCAGCAGTTGCTTCTATTACAGCAGCAGCAGCAGCAGCAGCAGCAGCAGCAGGTTGTTAGTGGATTGGGTTTAGACGCCAGCAGCATGTTTGGTTCTGCTGTGTCTT